TTCATTCATAAATAATGCTTGTCTTCTTTTCATTTCCTTCATTGAATCTTTCAACATTAATACAGTCCCATCATTAGTTGTTATAATAAATGATCCATCTTCATCATCAAGCATATGAACAGCAGTGATTTTACTGTTTAATTTTCTACTTTCTACGAATTTAAGAACGTCACGTTTTTTTTCTTTAACGTTTTCAAGAACATAAATTGTGCCACTTTCTGCTGTAATAGCGAGAATAGTAGATCCAACAACATTGATTAGTTGTGTAACTTCAACATTATATCTTCCATAAGGTAAAGCAAATGCATCATCTATTCTTTTAGGTGATACATCAATGATTTGATCATTCTTTTCTTCCATTTGAACAATCCATCCACCATAAGCAAAATAGTATGTCACTGTATTATCCCTTGGGAATGATAATAAAGAATTAATATTAAATAAAGGTTTTTTTTGTTCAGTAGATTGAACTTGTAATCCCATAACTTGAAGTAAGTTAAAATGAGAAGATTCCCAAACTGCAACAATTCCATCACAAGACACAGTAATTAACTTATTAGTATTAGTCATTTCAATAAGATCTACATCATCTATATGGGGTGAACTTCCTTCTTTTTCTAGCTTTTTAATAAATTTTGAAGAAGATGGTTGTTCAGAGTTAATTTGATACACATAAATATCATTTGTTCTACTGATAAATAATATTCCATCTTCAGTTAGAAGTGATGTTTTATAATAGTCATCAGATTCTCTTTCCATGATATATAATGGGGTATTACTAGTAGTATTCCAGAATGCAATTTTTTTATCATTAGCAATAGTTATAATAGTATCATTAAGAATATAAATTTTTTTAATAATCCCATCATGACTTGTAAGTGTTCCTTCTTCAATTAAAAGTTCATTATCTTTTAATTGCATAAAATCAGTTAAAGAAATTCTATAAATTTCTTTTTTAAATGCAATAACAATTATTCCATTAAAGAATTGAATATCTCCTATAATTCCTTTTGAAACCATTTCATTTTCACAATCAATTTGATATTTCTCTTTAAGTTCACAAATATATTTTTCTGATAATTCTAAGACTTCTTTTTCATTTTCATTATTAACATTCTTAATACTGCTTTGTATTTCTGTAAATATATGTTTTATTTCTTCTATTTCTTTCTTTAATTTATTTTCTTCTTTATTTTCTTCTTCTCCTTGGGTCTCTTTGTTTTTATCTGAAGCATCATAATT